GAATGGTGGGTGGAAAAATGCTCAGCTAATACTTAGGAGATGTGATTTCCAATCTGACTTTCGTGTAGAGTCTGGTAAATCACTTAACTTCTGAGCCCCAATTTTCTAATAGGAAATCAATATGTTATTTTGGATAACTTCTCTGTTCCCCTCCAGCTCTAATAGCCAATTATTCTATGGAAGCTAGATCTCAATCTGTGCAAAGTTGTTGTGGGGGATGTACATTTACATCTGGGTTTAAGTCCTATAATGAAAATAGCAAAGTGTGGAAGGAAAAATGTCAGAAACATTCATGTAAGAAGAAAATAATATGGAGAAATAAGGAGAAGAAAAAAACAAGTTAGTAAATTTTTTGTGTTTGTGGCATACGGTTACATAATTAACTATCCGTTCAGCTGGTTGAAAATATAATTACTGTTTTCTTTTCCATCATGGCAAGATGGGACCTACTTTTACATCTCTTACTTATGATAAGAAAACTGCCAGTTAAAATAAAGTTACTATTATCTTTTTTCATACAGGCAATGAGTCTCAGAAGGCAACATGGTAAGTAATGTAGTGCTAGGGTGGCCCTTTGAAAAATTGGCCCTCACTTCTGATACTGAGTTCACAAAGCATGGAAAAATGTATTCTTCTCAGATAAGATGTGTTAATAACAAAGTGTGAATAGACTGTAAGTATCAAGAAGTAACAAACTCCTGATGCCTTATGACTAAAGATTGTTTTAGGATTGTTATCACAAAAACTCTACATCAGGTGGAAAGTTGGAAATGCACCACACATATGCTTTATTTTCATTACCATCCAAATCTTCCATTAGTAATATGTTAGAGAGGTGTGTTGATTGATTCTTCAGACCAGGAGAGTACTACTTGGTTCCCATCTACTACTGATTCTCAAATCTGGCTGATCATCAGGGAAATGTGTAAAGATAATGCAGATCAGTGGCTCTGTTCCCTAGAGATTCTTTCTCAATAGGTCCAGGTAAAGCCTGGAGACCCTAATTTTAAAAGCTCCTCAGATGACTATGATTTTTTTCCTGTTAATCTGTGTCAAGTCAACTTGATTCTTAGTCCAGGTAGAAGGGTCTTGAAGGGCAGAGGAAATTCTTCCTCCTCAACAACGGTAAGAATTGTTTCATAAAACTTTTATTTCATATACATATACACTCACACATCTATGCCCATATAAATACATATCAAATGTATTTCCTATTGTTTTGGTCAAAAGTTTTAAAGCCACTCATCTAGAACATTATTACTAGAAGCATTAATATGCATTACTTATGGATTCAATTTTTAAACAGATATATATAAGGCTATTCAGAATTTTTATTTTCTTTTATGTAAGTTGGTTGGTTATCTTTTGGTTGGTTGAGTTTTGTGTGGGGGATTTTCCATTTCATCTAAGTTTTCAAATTTATTTGCTTGAAGTTATCCATAGTATCTTATCTTGTTTTAATATCTGTGGAATCTACATTAATGTCTCCCTTTTCATTCCTGATACTGGTCATTTGTGTTTTCTTTCTTTTTTTCTTGCCCAGTTTTGTTAATGTTTATAATTTATTATTAATTTCTAAAAATGTATTGATTTAGTGATATTGATTTAGTGATCTTATTGATTTCCTCTGTTGCATGTCTGCTTTCTATTTTATTGATTTCTGCTTTTATCTTTTATCTTTTTATTTATTTGCTGTTCTTTTTAAGATAGAAGCTTAGATCATTTATTTTCAACCTTTCTCTTTTCTAATATTTACATTTAAAGCTGTAAATATCCCTCTAAGTACAACTTTGGTTACATTCTAAAAGTTTGTAAGTATTCCCAGGTCATAATGAGACAGAGAAACTGAAGGACTCCATAAAAAACCTGCTTTTTGCTCCTTTTCCTGCTTCTATTCTTGCTAGGACCTGCACCCCCACTTTACACATGCCTCATCATGCAAACAGTGTATATTCTCTTTGTAAGGGAAAAGGAGTTAATGATTTCTATAGAATAGATAACATCTAAGGAGGTCCAGGTGAGAATGACTGGACAAAGCCATCATATGTGTATTCTAGACTATTGAATGTGTATTCAATGCCAAGGCTCCCTGTCTCTAAAGAGTAACACCTGGGCCCCTGTTTTTGTTCTAACCAGCTCCTGGGTGCCTGAGAGGATACCTAAACCAGGCTACAGTCCTCAATAAAAAGCCCCAGACCCCGAACAAAAATCAGGCTCATGCTCCTTTGCTTTCCAAGTCTCCTGGATGCTCCTTCTATATCTGCTCTCTCAATATGTTCAGTAAACTCTGCTCTCACTTCCTGCTAGCTCCTGTTTGATTTCCACACTCTGTGAGGCCAAGGACCCTCTTGGCTGGTCCTGCAGGACCCCCTCTGGGTCCCTGGACCTGGCCTGCTGGCATCAATAACTCAATGCTTGTTCTGCTTGATTTGTTCTATTTAATTTCTTTCATCTTGGGGAGTATGGCAGCATAATTTTGTGACCATCAGAACAATATTCACACAATTTCCCAAATCATTTTTTACTTAAAATATATCTAACAAAACATGTTTGGCATTGAATCTTATGAAATGGCTTTGATCAGGAGAGTGTGGGGTGACCCAATCGAGTGGAGGCCAGTAGCACAGGCAGTGAAAGAAGTCACCCAAAGCAGAACAAAGGATGTAGGAGTTTATTGAATACACTGTAAGGGAGCAGGGGGGCAGGACAGCAAAGAAGAGACTATCTCCTAGGAAGCAGTAGTGGAGGGGCTGTATTATGGGAGGGAGTGAGGAGGTATGGGAACCTATGGAATTTTATGTTTGTGGTAACTATGCCCAGTTGTAAGTAACCCATTGGTCAGCTAGGACCTATGGCTATTTTGAGGTGGGTCACCTAATGAGCCTGTTTGCATTCAACTTAGTGGTCACTGGGGGCCCTATTAGGTTTCCACTGCTCAAGCCTGCTGCCTAAAAGTAGCCTCTACAAAGAGCACATTTTGATTCTTCCCTGCTTCTATAAAATCTATGAGAAATAGCATCTCAAACTTTTTTAAAAATACGAACTATTAAGTGTTGCTTCTTCTTAACCTCTTAGGGCAAATAAGGACATGACAATGATCCTCTTTGTCTGAATTAATAAAACTCAATATATTTAAACTTCTCAGAAAATGGAAATGCTAATTATTATAGTTAGGGCAAAACATTATTAAGATAACCCATTGGAATTACATACTTTTTGATATAAAAGTTTACTTTCATGGTAACAATTTCTGAAGTCCAGTTACATCTGTAAGAACAGCTTTTTTTTTTTTTTTTTTTTTTTTTAAGATTTACTTATTTGAGACAGGGAGTCTGCACGCATGAATAGGGGGAGGGGCAGAGGGAGAGAGAGAATCCTTAAGCAGACTCCCCGCTGAGCCCTGAGGCTGCCACGGGGCTGAATCGAATCCTAGGACCCTGAGATTATGATCTGAGCCAAAATCAAGAGTCAGATGTTTAACCAGTTGAGCCACCCAAGCACCCCTGTAAGAACAGTTTTATTATGCAAAACAATCTGTTTATCCAGAGGTGGGAGACAAACAAGATGCTTTCTTCTTTTCTTCCTGCAGTGTAAGCACTGGAATTACATTAGTACTGAGAGAAAATGGCAAGCCCTGGAGACTCAAAATTTAAAATATGAAAAGAGGGCAGAATAGGATTATTAGCAAATGGAATGTGGAGCTGGTTTGTTTTGCCTCTAGAATTCTGAGTCATTATTTCACGTATGGAATGTCCCGTAAAGAATAATTTTACCTCTGGGGGCGCCTGGGTGGCTCAGTCGGTTTAGCGTCTGCCTTCAGCTCAGGTCATGATCCCAGGGTCCTGGGATCAAGTCCCACATCGGGCTCCCTGCTCCACGGGAAGCCTGCTTCTCCCTCTCCCACTCCCCCTGCTTGTGTTCCCTTTCTTGCTGTGTCTCTCTCTGTCAAATAAATAAATAAAATCTTTGAAAAAAAAAAGAATAATTTTACCTCTGATAAAGATACTGGAGGATAGTCAGAAAAAAAGGCTGGCAGGGGCAAGGGCCGCCCCATCCTAAGAGGAAACTACCTTTAAAAGGAAAAAGACCCCATCCTGTTAGTCTGCACCACCCTGAAAGGAGCCCTCCACCCTTTCCCACGTGAACAACTACCTCATAGGTAGATGAGCGTGTGGACAAAAACCTGATTGGGTGACAGACGATGGAGGGTTAATCAGATTAAAACAACCCGCCAACAATCTCATAAAAACCCTAGACTAGAAACTCTAACCCATTCGAGTCCCCTCCCTCTTCTGGAGCCTTCTACCATCACTCAATAAACTTTGCATTGCTGCCTACCACTCTTCATCTGGTCTACCTCTTCATTCTTCAAAACAGCTTGACCAAGAACCACAGGAACTAAAGGAAATCCTGAAACAACAGACGTTACTTTGACTCAAGGAACCAGTGGGATAAAAACTGGCCCAGTTAACTGAAGTACAGTCTTTAGGGAGGAGCAGGACATGGTCTTGGTTGTTGGAAGTCAGAAAATTTGCTTCAGAAGACAACATTTTCCAGTCCCTTGATTCAGCAATTCCATATCTAGGGATTTGGTCTAAGGAAATAACTATTTATGTGTGTGAAGATTTAGCTATAAGGATGTCCATGATAATGTTGCTTAGAATTCTATAAAAACTGCAAAAAGGGGCACCTGGGTGGCTCAGTTGGTTAAGCGACTGCCTTCGGCTCAGGTCATGATCCTGGAGTCCCGGGATCGAGTCCCACATCAGGCTCCCTGCTCAGCAGGGAGTCTGCTTCTCCCTCTGACCCTCCTCCCTCTCATGCTCTCTCTCTCATTGTCTCTCTCACAAATAAATAAAATCTTAAAAAAGAAAGTAAAAAAAAAAAAAAACTGCAAAAAGCCTAGGTATTCTCAATTAGGTAATAGAAGTTTATTATATTAGAATATGATAAAGCCAAAAATGATGCTTCTGATGAGTATTTCATGATATATAAAACATTCACACTATATTCTAAAGAGAAAAATATGTATGATGTAATTCAGTTTTTATTTTTTTAAATATATGGTATATTATATACTCTAGGCATTGATAAAATACCAAAAGGGATAGATACCCAATGCTGACAGTGGTTATCTCTTAGGCTGGGGATTATAGTGATTATATTTTCTTTTGACTTCTCTGCAGCTTAAAATAACTTCTAAAAAAAAGTCCATGCTTTATGTTTGTGATATTGAAAAACAGAAGCTATTGCTTTATAAATTGCTTTAGAGCAATTGAAAAATAAATGAATATGGACCCTTGCTGTGAGAATTTCCAGATATCTGACATTGAGTGACATTTAAAAAACTGTTTAATTCCTTCTTGTTTTTGCTTTTAGAGAGAGATGGCACACACAAGTGGGTGGGGGGCCTTCATTCCTCTGACTAAAGTGACGACCTGAAGAAGATACTTGTGCCCGTTGTCACAAAGCTGATGTGCACCTGGCAGGAGGTAGAAGGCCTGGAAGCCTGAGGAGGAATGCAGCTAGACCTGGTAGAGCTGTGGGTCTGGCTGCTGCCTCACACCAAGGTGGGGGGCCGATCCACAGTCTCAGTCATGGTCTGCAACCACACCGGACTCTCTACAAACCAGGTAGAGACACACAGTTGACCCTTGAACAACATGAGTTTGAACTGCATGGGTCCACCTACACATGGATTCTTTTACAGTACAGAACTCTAAATGTATTTTCTCTTCCTTCTGAGTTTCTTAATAACATTTTCTTTTCACTAGCTTCCTTTATTGTAAGAATACAGTATGTAATACACATAACATACAAAATATGTGTTAAACAATGGTTTATGTTATCAGTAATGCTTCTGGTCAACAGTAGGCTATTAGTAGTTAAGTTTTGGGGGAGTCAAAAGTTATGTGCAGATTTTTGACCGCATGGGAGGTGGGGGAGTGTCAGTGCCCTTGATCCCTGTGTTTTTCAAGGGTCAACTGGTATACCCAAATGGAGTAGATGTATACTTCTGAGTATAAATAAGCATGGCTTCTGCTTCACTTCGAGCCCACACAAGACTGTCCTGTGCCACACAGGAAAGGGAAGTCTAGCCACATAGCTGAACTAAGTTGATATAGTACAAGCTGCATGGCCTCTATTTGCTACTGACCCACTGGAGGACCATGAACAAGTTAGCTATCCTGTGTGGCTCTCCAAACCTCTCCAAGATAATAATAATAATAAAACAGCACTAGCCCCTTTTTGCTTTGTGTATATATATTTATATAGGGGGAGAAAGACTAGACTTATAAAATTATTGGGTGAATGTTAGGATTAACTTTGTATCATCATTTTAAGTTGTTTTATGTTCACTGTTCTCTGACATAGACCTTCCTATGGATGTACTGCTTACTTTTAAGCCAACTATTAAAATACATAAAATATTAAGATTCAATAGACAGAAGCACATGTATATAAGCCGAGAATAGCTCATAAGGGTATGTCAATATTCCTGACAAGCAAATGAATACCTTGAGGTTTTCTCTTTCCAGTGGGAAACAATGATAATATGTCTCTTATCTGTGTACTAAATAACTCACAACTCTCTCCTCCACCGAGCTGCAAATATATAGCAAGCAGACTGTTTTTTATAGTAATGCTGCCCACTGAGCCTAAATACTACCTGTTATCATGTATTGAGTCACTACTATGTGTCATGCCCTGCCCCTTTAATATATAATATTTAATTTTCTCACTAACTCTGCAAGATAAGTATTCATATTTCTATTTTACAGATGAGATAATGGAGCCTCAGAAAAGTTAAGTGATTTCCCCAAGGCCACAAAACTCATAAGTTGTGTAGCTGGAATTTGGACAGTTCTGTCTGGGGCCCCAACCTAGGCTTTATCTTAGGACTCAAGTGTGGTCCACACACCAGCAGCACCAGCATCCGAGAGCTGTTGGAAATGTGGAATCTTAGGTCCTACCCAGACCTACTGGATCAAAATCTACAGTTCAGCAAGATCAGCAAGTAATCTGCATGCGCCTTAAAGTTTGAGAAGCACTGTTATACATGCATGCATTGCTATTCTCCACAAAATGGTGTTGGGAGATCAAATACTCTTATATTCAGTGTTGAAACTAATTATTTGCTGGGCTTGATAGGAAGGTGGCTTTGTTGATTTTCAGTGATTAACCTAAGCTTCCAGAACAGCATCTATTTCCCCTGTGTGCTCTGAGTAGCATACCTATAACACAAATTTATGTTGAGTTTACATGATTGAAGATTCCACAGACATAAGCAACACGGTGATTGAATTTCCTTTTAGAGAGCTGTCTGTGATCTTTTTCTTACCTATTAATATGATGGATTATCTAAGAACTTGCAAATGGAATAGGCCACTGTAGAAAAGAATTGGTCAAAGAAGATAAAGCCTCACTCAAGAAATTATTTAAACCCACCATCCCTCCAATCCCAAACTCCTGAGGGTGTTTGCATTTTAAAAGAGGAGCTTGGAAATTGAATGAAATTATGACAGGTTGATTATTTGCTGCAGCATATATTTTTTGAGAAGATGGATACATATTCTTTGTGTCCTTATCTTGCCTCCATTAGCTCCAGGCTCCACATTTTATCTGCCATTAGAGCAATAGGATCAGCGATTGGCACCTCTCTTCTCCAAGTTTTAAGAGTAGCCTAAGAGTAGAAGGTCCGTTTAGTTTGCTACTGTGGAATAGTTACCAAAGGAAGTTATTTTCATATATAACCAGCATAGATCATGCCAACTTTAACACAAGGAGCACATTGCTAACTCATATCTGTACAGTCCTCCAGGCTCTGGCTCCACCCCATCTTTCCAGCCTCACTTCCTTGGTTCAGCATTTCCTTGTCATTTTCCTTTTCATCCTGGCTGCACTAGCCCAAATGAACCCTCTACGCTGTACTAATTCCAAGGCTTGCTTCTGATTCTCTTTCCACCTGAAATGTCCTCTCCCACGTTTCCTCTTGCCCCAAACCTACTCATTCTTCATGTCAAATGTCAGCCATGACACAACATCTTTCTTGGCACATGTTGGCTAGAAACTCTAAATCCCAAAGGGTTTATTTTCTCTCTAGTGGGACACTTACCACTTTCTATCTTTACATAATATTTATCTGAGACTTTCCCTGCCGTGGTAGACTGTAAAGACCCTGAAAGAAGGATCCTTGTCTTAGTATGTAAGCATTCCCCACGGATGCCTCATACAATACCTGCCACATCAATCCTCAATAAATAGTTCCTTTCTTCCTTCCTGGCTGATGATGTTGAACACCTTTCATGTGCTTAATTGGCATCTGTATACCTCTTCATTGAAATGACTCTTCAAATCTTTTGCCCATTTTCTAACTGAATTTTTTTATTGTTGAGTTTTGAGTGTCCTAAATATATGTTAGATTTTTTGTTATAGTCTCACAGATCCCTGAGTCTCTGCTCATTTTTTTTCAGTTTCTTTCTGTTGTTCTGATTGGGTAATTTCTATTGTTATACTTTTCAGTTCACTGATTCTTTCCTTTTTTCCCTCCATCCATTGAGTTTTCAATTTTGATTATCACATTTTTCAGTTCTAAAATTTCTATTTGCCTCCCATATATATCTTCTATTTCTCTTTTGAGACTTTCTATTTCTTTCTTGAGACTGTTTTTTTTTTCATTTGTTTCAAGTGTGTTAACTATTATTAATTCATAACATACATATTAATTTGTATTTGGATATAAATTCCCATCTGTTCTGTTATAAATATGTTCTCTCTGACATGGCTTATCTTTAAACTTAACTTATAAGTTTATAAATCTCCTGACCAGGAGATCATGACCTGAGTCAAAACCACGAGTCGGATGCTCAACTGACTGAGCCAGCCAGGCACCTCATCCGCAGTCATTATAAAGAAATCATCTTTCTCTCAAATAACAAAATATTATGACATACTTTCTTCCAGTTGTTTTAAAATTTTGAATTTCACATTTAGATATTTAACCTCCCTGGAGTTTATTTTGTTATGGTGTCAGGAAGTATACATCTAATTTGTTTCCATGTAGAAAGCTGAATGAGGCCAGACCACAAGTGCTGGTATAGGACTGGTGAGAGTGGTGACCTCACTTAGCTTGGGTTACTTTCTCTCTTGTTTACTACTGAGCCAGTCAACACCCAGGGCAAAGGAACACAGGAGGTTAAGGGCATGCTTTCGAGGAAACAGCTCTCCAAAATCTCCTTTGTCAGTGTGGAAGTGCATCTGAATATTTGGGGTCTCAGCAGCCTGTGGGGAGAGAAAAGTGCCAGAGGCTGCAGAATCAAGGCAGCCTACCTTTTATATAAGCGTGGAGGTTGAGAAGGCTTTGGTGGGGCATGTCACATCAACACTTAAGGATGACCCTGTGATCTCATACAGATATTGGTACAACGCACACCTTCTATTCCATTTCTAACTGGGCCTCCTTGAGTTTTCTGTGCCATGAGACCACACCCAGCTCCGTTTATTGACCAGTCCTTCCCCATGATTGGTAACATTTCGCACACCAAATACCCCTAAAAGCTAATGTCTCTCCATGAATACAATAGCTATATAATAGCTAATATAATAATATAATACAATAGCTAATGTTTATGTAAAACAGACAACTTCAAATGTTGGCCATCTTGATTGTGGTTTGTGGATTCTAAATGTCCAAAGTCCAAATGCTTCAGAGCTAGAGTGAAAGAAAACGAAATCCTCATTTTCCTTTTGATGACACATTCCAGTTTTTAAAGATTCATGGCACCATCCAGAGCCTTTTTATACAGATGCCTAATGGTATGACGTGGGCTTAGGACTTGGATTTGTGCCTTCTGATAAATACGGTGGTGTCAGATATTATAGCTGGGTAATTATAATTGCAATAATTCTGTAGCCTTCCCACAGTAGGGAACTAAGTCAGTCCATGAATTGGTTAGCAAACTCTCCACATAGAAAATTATTAACATGAGAAGTGGAGGAATAAATGTGTGGTTATAATCCAGTTTAATTTCCTGTGAACCGATTGCCTCCTTGGTAGAGGTCAATATGTGCCTCAGTGCCTTCTGGGAAGCATGCTGCTATGGTGTCATGATGGATAATAAAAACACAGAATCCTGAGGAAGAACATTGCTACACGGTATTAAAATATGGCTCTGGGATGAAAAAAAAATGAGCTTGTGACATCTGACTAATAGGGAGATGGAGCACAGTGAGAATTATTCATAGTGGGTCATAAAATGGAAAGGCCAGGATGCCCACCGAGCAGAGCAGCCAGCAATACTCAGGTGTTTGCATACTGCTTCTCTAAATGACAAATTGTAGTCATCAAAGGCTTCTCAAAACTTTCCATTCACCAGGACTGCTTAGGCAAGTGCACAAATGATATTTTTACATGTACAGATGGCTGTGCACAGATCATATGGACGCCAGCAGCTGTGGCGGGGCCGGGCTGTGGCACCGATCACCCAAGACAGTTCATGTGGCTTCCGGGGAGTCCTCTCTCATTCATTTATTTGGGGCACAAGGTTTATCTTTCTAAGTGTTTTTCAGGAACCAGTATACAAATACCTTTGCATGTCCTGAGCATCTCTAAGGTGATGGAGAGAGGAGAGTC